TGGGAGAAAGGACCTGGCAATCTACTCTCTTGAAGATTGTTGTTGTTAAGTGTCATCGAGTCAGTTACTAATCATAGTGACCCTGTAGAGGGTTTCCAAGGAGCAGCTGGTGAGCTTAAACCATTGACTTTGTGGTTCAAACCACACACACACAAACAAAACAAACAAACCAGCATAGCACCACAGTCAAGGAAGCCCTGTGGGAAGTTGTCCTCTGTCATATGGAATCACTTTGAGTCAAAATCGACTCAAAGACACCTACAGCATTAACATAGAGCCCAGCACAATTGAGGTGACCACCCAGGACAGAAACTGCCCTACTGGTATCTTTACTTGCTTTCCTCTGGGGCTCCTCTAGGGGGCACTGCTGTTCTCTGCACAAGTAGGTGCCTGGCAGACAGAAGAGAAGGCAATTTTGTTTTTGTTTGTTTTCCCTTACTGGCTTTCTTACTTAGGCTAACACCACAGTTCTAAAAACAAAACAAAACAAAACAAAACAAAAAAAAAACCCCAACAGTCTCTGTACTTTTGTTTCAGGGCCTGTTTAGAGACATCGGGCTCTCCTGGTTGTTGATCCTGACTTGGTGTCCACATTGGGATGAAGGAAATGTCAGAGTCTTTGTCCAAATGGACTTGAAAGACTCCTTTGCCTAACACGCCACACCTGCCTCCCCAGAGACAACCATAGAGAGCAACTTCTATTGTTATTGTTAAATGCCATTGAGTGTGTTCTGACCCATAGCGACCCTGTATAGGGTTTCCAAGGAGCAACTGGTGAGCTTGAACTGCCAGCCTTGTGGTTCAGACTGACCTTGCAGTCCAGTGCATTAACCCGCAGCGCCACACTGGGACTCCATAGAGAGCAACTATGGTATGGTATATGTATAGTGGCACAGCGGGTTAAGTGATAAGCTGCTAATTACAAGGTCAGTGATTCAGACCCACAGGCTGCTTTGTGGGAGAAAGATGATGTAGTCTGTTTCTGTAAAGATTTACAGTCTTAGAAAGCCTAGGGAGCAGTTCTAATCTGCTCTTTATACCATTCACAAAGTATAATATAAAGTAGTATTGTTGTTGTTTTTGTTAAGTGCCGCTGAGTCACTTCTGACCCATAGCAACCCTGTATCGAGTTTCCGAGGAGTGACTGGTGAGCTTAAACCGCCAACCTTGCAGTTCAAACTGACTTTTCAGTCCAGCTCATTAACCCACAGTGCTGTATAGGTTCTTAATAAATAGTTGAGGTTAAAACCTAACATTTTTCCTCATTTACATATGTGGCGGACCCTCTACTGCCAAGCCCTGTGGTGGTGCTGCTGCTGTTGTTGATATTGTTCTTGATATGCCTGATGAATAAAGCCTGAAACTTTCCCGAAGCTCACATTCCAGAGGGGTTGAAAACTTGAAAGCCCTGAAAAGGCATTTTCCTGTGGGATAATTTAGCCTGATGTTATGGGCAGAATTTAGGGCCCAATGCTAAGAGTTCTGTAATGGAGGAACTTCAGAATTTGAGTTAGAATTTTAGAGAATCCTGGCAGTCTAGATGTGGAAGGGATTTTAGAGCGAAATTAAAGATTTCTTCTCTGCAATGTCTTTGCAAACTGTTGTAGTCTCCTAAAGCTGCCATAACCATTTACCACAAACTGGACGACTCAAAACAACAGAAATTTATTCTCTCAGTTCCAGATGTTGTTGTTATTAAGGGCAGTCAAGTCAATTCTGACTCGTAGTGACCCTTTATAGGGTTTCCGAGGAGTGGCTGGTGAGTTTGAACTGCCAAGCTTGTAGTTAGTAGTCCAGCTTATCCTGTAGAGACTGAAATCAACCCTGAGTCGACAGCGTTCATTTCTTCTGGAGGTGCTGAGATGAAGCCGTTCCATGCCTCTCTTCTCCCCTCTGGTGGTTGCTGGCAGTGAGCTCTCTATATCCAACTTTCGCATGCTACTGTGAAAGCTGGACAATGAGTAAGGAAGACCGTAGAAGAATTGATGCATTTGAATTATGGTGTTGGAGGAGACTATTGAAAGTGCCATGGGCTGCCAAACGAACAAATCTGTGTTGGAAGAAGTGCAGCCAGAATGCTCCTTATAAGTGAGGACGGTGAGACTTTGTCTCTCATACTTCGTCTTTCATACTTCAGACATGTCATCAGGAGGGACCAGTCCCTGGAGAAGGACATCATGCTTGGCTTGGTAGAGTGGAGAGTCAATGAAAAAGAGGAAGACCTCAAGGAAATTGATTTGCACAGTGACGGCAGCAGTGGACTCAAGTGTATCGTTTGTGAGGATGTCACAGGACCGGGCAGTGTTTTGTTCTGTTATGCATAATGTTGTTATGCATCAGAACTGACTGGACAGCACCTAATAACAACAACTGTGACACAAAAAATACCACGAGCAGATGCCTTTAAAGAACAGAAATTTATTTCCTCCCAATTCTGGAGGCAGACAGTCCATATCTGTGTTTAGGGCCTATTTATTCCTTTCCTGTCTGTAGCCCTGGGCATCCCTTGGTCCTTGGTGCTCCTTGGCTTCTAGACGATTCTCACTGGCATCCTTTGTGTGTTTCTATTTTGGTCTCTTTATCGTTCAGCAATGATTAGGTTTAGGATCGTCCCCACACTGCTGGTGGTATTGCTAGGGGCCATCGAGTTGGTTCTAACTCGACTCATAGCAGCCCTCATGTGCAATAGAGCTGCTCTTTGCACATAGTATTTGTTTTACTGCAGTACTGGGTAACTAAGACAACCCTATGTTGGTGTGACTTCATTAACATAACAGAAGAAAACCCTATGTCCAAATAGGATCACATTCACAGTTAAGAATGCCAGGAATTCAACACAATTCAATCCTTAACATAGATGTCTCGGGCCTGTTTTTACATGGCCTGCTCTCCTGTGTGTTTGTCTCTGAGTCCAAATTTCCTCTTATACACAAAAATATAAGGATTTTGTTCTTGTTAAGTGCTGACTAGTCGGTTCCAACTCATGTTGTTGTTGTTAAGTACCATGGTTCCGACTCATAGTGACCCTACAAAGGGCTTCCGAGGCTGTAAATCTTTACGGGAGCAGACCGCCTCATCTTTCTTCCACGGAACCACTGGTAGTTTCAAACTGCCGACCTTGAGGTTAGCAGCCCGAGTCATAACCACTACGCTACCAGAGCTCCTTAGTCAGTACCAGCTCATAGCAACCCTTATGTATTGGGTTTCAGAGGCTGAAAATCTTAGTGGGAGCAGAAAGCCTCATCTTTCTCCCACAGAGAGGCTAGTAGACTTGAACCACTGGTCTTTTGTTCCACAGTCCAGTTCTTATTGTACAGAGCCTCTGTGCTTCCTTCCCACTGGTTAGGAGGCTACAAGTCCAAAGTCAGAGTACCAGATCTCGGGGAGGACATTCTCATTGTTGGCACTGTGGAGTGTTGTTTCTCTCCTTTCAGCATGTGTAGTCCCAGTATTACTTGGAGAGCTCCAAAATTTTGGCATCTGTCTTCCTCCTAATATAACAATTGTTGTGAAGTGCTGTCAAGTTGGTTCTGACTCATAGCTACGTTGTATAGGGTCTCCAGGGAGTGGCTGGTGAGGTCAAGCTGACCTTGTGGTTAACAGTCCAGTTTTATCCTACAGCTCCACACCAGGACTCCAATATCAAGATTTGTTGTTGATGTTGTTAAGTGCTTTTGAGTCACTTCCGACTCATAGCAACCCTGTTTCCAAGGAGCAGATGGTGAGTTTGAACCACCAACTTTGCAGTTCAATGACTTTGCAGTCCAGAGCTTTAACCCACAGCGCCACACCACCATAAACCACTCTGTCTTTATCTTAACTTGATTACATCTGCTAAGACTCTGTTTCCAAACAAGTTCACATTCACAAGTACTGGGGGTTAGGGTTTCATCACAAGTTGTTGTTTTTTTTTTTGAGGGGCACAGTTTAATCCATAATATTTGCATATGAAAATCTCAGCAGACAGTTTTTGTTTTGAAACATTTCATTGTGAATTGGGTAAAGATTTACATAACAGATCATCAGTTTTGCATTCATCAAATCCTACACATCATTTCATCTCAATGATTGCAATCCCCTCCATGGAACAGCAGTTATCCCACTTCCCTTGGGGTTCTTATCTCCATTCCAACCTCCTTTCCAACCCTTCTGAACTTGGTCCTTAGGTAAAAGTTGCCCTTTTGATCATGAATGGTTGACCATTCCACTGTGAGCATACCTTACTAGTATGTTGTTCCCTCTGTAGACATACATACGATTTGGCTGAAAATTGAACCATGAGGTTGAATTCAGTTCCAGACCTGAAGAGTGGCTGAGGGCCATAGTTTTGGGTTCCTCCAGTGGTGCTGTGGGGTAATACACTGAACTGCAAAGTCACTTTGAGCCTCAAGGTCGGTGATTCAAGCTCACCAGTTGCTCCTTGGAAACCCTATGTAGTTGTCAAGTGCCGTCGAGTCAATTCCGAATCATAGCAACCCTATATACAGTACAGGGTGGCTATTCATCGGAAATGACTCATCAGCACTTAACAACAACAAGAGCATATACAATGGACTTCAAAAAGTTCATAGAAAAATGGGATGAAAAGATAATAGAAATTTCCCATGAACTCCTTGAATCCCCCTCATATTTCTCACCTAACCCAACCATCTACTAGTAAGGGCTTTTGTCAGGGTTACACAGCCCATCAACAGCAGAGGTAGGGCCAGACCCAGGCCCAGGACTCGTGGTTCTCAGGATGTGAATAAACATTGGCACTGGCTTTGGTACCCTCACATGAGCACTGTCTGTCTCTGTCTCTCCTCTCCTCAGCCACTCCTTCCAGGGGCTGAACGCCAGGTGCAGGCCCTCCTCAGCAAGTATGGCCCCGGGAAGCTTTACCAGGTAACAAGCAGCATCAGTGGGTGTGGGACTCTGGACCTGACAGTACCGCGGGGCCAAATCGTGGCTCTCCTTCAAAACAAGGACACCAAAGGCAACAGCAGCCGCTGGCTGGTGGACACTGGGGGTACGTGTGGGTCTTAATGGGCCCCTCCTTTCCTTTTGGGAAACCATCCAACAGAAGTCAGTTGGGGGACAGAATCTGGCTGTGCAAGTCTAGGATAGATATGAGCCTATCAGAAAGTGTAAGGCTTGGGGGACAGTGTAGGGCTTAGTATGAATCAACAGTGGGTAAAATGTTAAAAAAAAAAAAAAAAAGGAAGTCAGGTTTGCCTTCAACTTCCATCAAACTGAGTTGAGCTCTGTGCAAGTCAGACAAGTGCTTTGCTTTAGGGACATCACAGACTATTTTGAAGAGATGAGAGAACTTCAGCATCACCCAGAAAGATGGAGGAAAGGGGATGCTTGGCTCTTGGCTACATTAATGAAGTCTGATGTCCAGAATGAGGGAGGTGATTATTCTGCCCTGGCCACAGCCTTGTGCTGCTGCTCTGGTACGGGGGCTGTAGTGTGACAGATTTGGAGGCCAGATGGCACAATGAACCCAGGAAGAGATGGTTGGTTGTGAGGCACAGCAGAATATCTTCCAAAGTGGGGCATGTCATTGTTAAGTGCCATTGAGTCAGTTCTGACTCACAGCAACCCTCTATAGAGTTTCCAAAGAGCAACTGGTGGGCTTGAACAACAGACCTTGTGATTCCCAGTCCTGTGCTGATCTGCAGCATCCCCAGGGTATATGGGGCATGTGGGACTTCTGACCTGCAAAATGAGTATTACATAGGATTGTTGGTAGGGGATCCATTACAGTTTTCCCCCCTATACATTTAAAACCAAGCCAGTTGCTGCCATAATCTCTGACTTGCAGTGATCCCATGTGTGTCACAGTAGAACTGTGCTTCATGGGATTTTCAGTGGCTGACCTTTTGGAAACAGATCTCCAGGTCTTTATTCCAAGGTGCCTCTGGGTAGATTTGAACTTCCAATCTCCCATGAGCAGCCAGCTCATTTCCAACTCTTGGTGATGTCATATGTTTCTGAGTACAACTGCCCTCCACAGGGTTTTCATGGTTGTGAGCTTTCAGAAGCACATTGCCAGTCCTTTCTTTCAAGGTACTTCTGGGTGGGTTCAAACCAGGACTTAATTCTTGCTGCCATTCAGGGACTCTTTCCCCCCATAAAGACAGCTTTTATTATAATTTTTACGTAGGTTATCTTAGTATGTATTAGCAAAAATATATAACTAGTTCATAAACTGGTCATTTTATTCATATTATTGAATAGTACCAGAATAAATTTTCAAAAGTGGGTCCATTAAAAAATAATCAAATAGTACAAATCAGACAGAAATCATGAAAGACACTCTCATAATTCAAAGTGGGGAAATAATGGGATGGGGATTCAATGCAAGACCCCCTGGTGTCAAGGGACTGACCTTAAATCCCAGTCTTGTTACTGTACTAACTGAATCATCTTGGGGAAGGCATGAAGCCTCTCTTACCTGTTGGTTCCACCGTAAAATGATAGCAGCAATCCTACCTTCAAGAATGAATATGAACCCACTGAATAGTTTTCATCTTGTCTAGACATGTCTGGTGAAAAGAGATGGGGCTAAGAGTCTTATGATTCAATAGTAATTGTTATCATGACTAATTGTGACTGTCACAATTGTAAAGGTAAAAGTTTTGTAACAAAAATGGGGGGGGGGGATTAGTTAATCTTACAGTCCAGAAACAGAGGACCCTAGGACCATCAAGGAAGAAGAGCACAAACAGAATGTGGAACCCTATGCATAGAGGCAGCAACACCAGAGATGGAGGCAGAGATGGGGACATGGAGAGAGGGAGCAGCTGAGTACTCTGGATTCATGGAAAGAGAGGGACTGAGAGGTGGTGGTCAGGAGGCAGGCTTGCAGAATGTGCCCTTTGGTGGTGTAATTATTATATATGCCTGAGTGTTTAAAAAAAAAAAAAAGAGCTAAAATGAATAGAGAGAAATACTGTTAACTGATGGAGGGGATTATAATCATTGTAATGAAACAAAGTATAGGATTTGCTGAATATAAAATTGATGCTCTGCCCTGTAAACTTTCACTCAATTCACAATAAAAATTTAAAAAAAAAAAAAGGATAAATCTGAAGACTAAATGCTTAAATATACCCAGCAAGCTCTCAGACATTATAGCCATTTATAAGGAGAGCAATGAACACACTAGTCATTGCTACATTAGATGGGTCTAGGGGCACTTGGAGAGAAGATAGGCTGGCCCAGGGAGAGGAAAGCACTTGCTCTGAGTAGCCACCAGAGGAGAGTGGGGACCAGTAATACCAGCACCTGCAAAGCAGGTTTCATGCCAGTGCAAGGAAGAGCTTTGTGTCAGAGATGTTCAGAACGGAGTGGGCTGCCTCCTATCATGGGATGTGCAAGCAGAACCAGGAAGTAGTAAGATCATGTATATGGGATGGTTTGAGAGGTTCCTAGAGGATTTGCAGATCCTCTTTAGTGTTGAGAAGCTGTGTTGGCCACATTTATATCCATTCACTAAAACGAAAATGGCTCACAATGGAATAATGTTCTGCATTTTTCTTAGGACAACGCGGGTACTTGCCAGCTGGGAAATTGCAGCTGTACCATGCCATCCCCAGTGAGGAGAAGTTCAGAGGGCAGGTGAGGTCACACGAGGATTCCCAGCCTCTAACACCAGAGCCCATTCTGGCCCCAGTTTCCTCAGTGCCAACTATGACCCAGGTGAGTCTGGGAGGAGATGGGGTGTGACTCCCATGGCCCCTTGTGCGTGGGCTTTGATTGTCCTCGTCTGTCTGGTGTACAGTCCTCCTGTCTAGAGGGCCTTGTTCTGACCAGGGGTAGTGGTGGCAGTGTTGGGTGCCTTTTAGTTGGTTTGGACTCACAGTGATCACATAGGATAGAGAATAACGGCTTCATAGGATTTCCAAGGATGTTATCTTTATAGAAGCAGATTGCCAAGCCTTTTCTCCCACAGAACTACAGGTAGGTTTGAACCAGTGATCTTTTGGTAAGTGCTTAACTGTTGTACCACCAAGACTCCTTGGACAGTGCTAGGGCCAGGAAGAATGGGTTTTGGTGCAGATTTCAATGTGGTTTTCCCTGCTGCACCAACAATAAAGCGCTAGCCCTTCCCCCAAGTCAACAGGGTGTGTGGGATTTCTTTGATTGATCATTCATTCATTCATTCATTCATTCATTCATTCAGTGTTGGCCAGACACTGTGCTAGATGAGCAATATAATGATGAACAAAAGTAGATCTTGGTCCTTGCTTTTCTCAAATTTATAATTTGGGGCCTGGGGAGCACAGTGATTAATGAAATAATCACCAAGATAATTGTCAAGTCACAGCAGCGGTAAGTGCTCTAGCCGTAGGTGGGAGAGAGGCTCTGAGCGGTTTTTCTGAGAGTGATGCTGTTTCTCAGCTCTGACAGGTGCGTAGGTTTTGATTTGATGAAGGGGCTGTGCTAGAATGAAGATGGCAAGAGCTCTCCAGAGAGCCTGCACAGCACACGTACAAGCCCAGTGGCAAGAAACATAATGGTGGTCTGAAGGGCTGACCCGAGCCAATGTGGCTGGGGAAGGGCAAAGGGCAGAGCGGAGCAAAATGCTGCTGAGGAGAGGGTAGGGGCCAGACCGACTCCCCCAGTCCAATTATTGATCCAATTCAATTCCTTTCCTGCATAGAATCAAGTCACCCAATCTCCATCTCCGAGGTAGGGAACTGGCTTGGGCAGGGGGAACCCTTGGATCTGGGAAGTCCTCTGCTCGCTGAGATGGCAGCAGTGGGTCAAGATCACTGAGGCCACACAGTCCTAGGCCTGTGTTGTAGTTCTGCTGTGTGGTCCTGGATAAGTTCCTTGACTTCTCTGAACCTCAGTTCTTTTATATGAAATAAAGTAGGGCAGGTAGAAGTAGAGCCAGGCAAAGTGTGGCTCAGCACCTGCTCCACAGTATTAGCTGCAGAGGCAGCAGAAGGATCCTTGTCTTTTTACCAAGGATGACCTTGGAGGTGACGGATGGGCAGCAGTCAGAGTTAGGTAGGGAGAACTGGACAAACAGCTTCTGTGGGTTGGGGTTATCTGTCTGCTCACACTGACTATCTCAGTGTTGTTTTCCACATGTTTCAGGTGGTGGCAGCGTATCCTTTTGTGGCCAGAAACAGCCATGAAGTGAGTCTGCAGCCAGGCCAGCCAGTGACTGTCCTGGAGGCCCAAGACAAGAAAGGAAACCCGGAATGGAGTCTTGTGGATGTGAACGGACAGAGAGGCTATGTGCCCTCTAGCTTCCTGGCTAGAACCCCAGGCCCAGCTCCATGGGGCTGGCGGCTGGCCTCTTAGATGTCCAGCTTAGAGCCCACATTGTTACGGAGATAGGGGAGGCTCAGAGGCTGTGACCTGGGAGGGAAAGGAAGTGAAGAAAAGGTGGGAGCGGGGAGGAGATTAGGTTAGGGTGGGTGAAGAGCAGTCAGAAGGCAGCAGGAGAGGAGGGTGGGCCTTCCAAAGTGCCTGATGTGGGAGGGCACTAAAGGTTCATGTGGCAAACCCAGGGCTCCAGCCAGGACCAAATAAAGAAGTGGATGCAGCTCAGGGCCACCACACCCAGGATGGCATGTAACAGCTGATGGGGCAGGCTGTGCAGACAGCCTCCAGCCAGTCTTCCCTGTGCCCCCATCCAGTCACCCACATGAATGCTACCTGTCTTCTGTGTGGTTGCAGAAGGAGAGAAGTGCGTGGCGTGACAGTTCACTTCCTAGATGTGGTGTCAGCAGATGCCAGACTGAGCAGCCATCTTTTAGTCCTCTGGGAACTGAGATATCTCGCTGATGAACCCCTCGGCTCTCTCAAGGGGGAGCTCTGAACTTATCAGTGCAGTGGGGGGAGAGTGTGATCAAGTCACGGTTCTGGAATGTGTGTGGGCAAATGCAGAGGCTGCTGCAGGGAAGAAGGGATTTTCAGGGCGTGTGAGGTAGAGTGCATAAGGTGGTTGGCCACAGAAGTACAATGCAGCCGTGTTCTCGGACCAGTGAGCATGCAAAGCATAGAGAAAGCTCTGTGAAATAGGTGATTAAAGGTGTGGTGGGGTGAGGAGGTTAGGTCATGTCTTGGCTTCCTGTTTCCTGGTAGAAGGGAATCCAGGAGAATCCCAGCTGGTTCCAGGAGGCATTGAGGGCCTGAAGGCAGCAGGGCTATGAACCCTTAGTGGTGGGGCTTTAGTCATATGACACAGCCTCAGTTTCCCCATCCACAAAGGCCTAACATCCAGGGCTGTGGTGAGAATGACATGAGGCTGAGGATGTGGGAACCCCTTGGACATTGTGATGTCGATTCCCATTGGTAGCAGGTGACTCAGGTAGTGGTCTCAGGATGGTCCCAGTCACCAGCTGGTCCGCATTGGCAAATGGAAGCATTCACTCTGAGTCCATTCCTGTACCCACTGCAGACATTATTAATCAATATGGCATCTTTTCCCATGAACCCTGGTTCTACCTCAGGATTCTTCTCAGTTCTTTACTCTAGGTAGCCCATCTCTTGAACTCTGTGAGATCAAACCTATTGTACATCCCTTTTTAGAACCTGGAAATGGAAGCCCCCCAAAACAGTTCCTGCTCAAGGACAACCAACCCATTGAGGCACTTTTGGGTGCAGCCACTGGTAGATCTTTTGTACTAAAAGCCATTGTAAGATTCACAGAAGACAGAAATGATGATCTCATGTGATCTTAATACAAATTACAAAGTTTGAAACCAACCCACGTTAGAGTGTATGTCAAAACAGGTGGCAGTTTAGATTTGTTTCCAAGGACATCTCTGTGTTGTTATAATTGCAGTGCCTAAAGCTGTTAGCTCTGGTTTTGAAGGGCTTTTAAGAATTATGTACATGTCTGTGTCAGACAGTTGATAACTCTGCTTCTGGGCTTGTTAAAGCATGAGTACTCCGCATAATGCAGGAAAAACCCAGTCCCACAGTCCCTTTCCCAGCCCTAAACTCGCTTTACAAGATGCTCTTGTTTCATTGTCCTTTTCTTTCCAGCTCAGATTTCTTATAAAAATGATGGAGCAGATAATAAAATAGGAGACCCATTCGTGGGTTTCATAAACACTGAGAGCCTACTGTGTGTGGACACGGTTGCTGGCTGTAAATCTGGTCCTTACTGCATTCAGTAGGGGAGCTGGAGACAGGGTCAGGATCCCACTCCAGAGATCCTGATGCAATGGTCTGAGCTGGGGGAATTTAGAAGATTCTCTGGTATTTTCAGTGTGTGGTCAGGGAAGTAAACTTCTGCCCTAGAGATACAGCAATGGAAGAAATAGACCAGAGCTCAGGGACAACCCAGAGCTCTAAGTTCTCAGGTGTCTTGTTTGAATTTTGTACAGGATTTTTTTAGAGGGGTTTGAAATACGACAGCCTAATTCTGTCAGATCCCAGAATGTATTTATTAAGTGCCATTAGAAGGGACCTGAATGAAAATTGGATGTTCTTGTAGGCATATGGGAAACAACTGAAATATACATGGAACCAAGTTGATCTCATGGAGAAAAAATTAAAATGTATTCAGTAGCTTATGGCTTGTCATAGACTAGGGGATGAGATTAAAAGTCACCGGTGGGTGAGAAAAGGCATATTGAAAAGATAGAGAATGGCCTGAATTTTCTCCAGGGTTCTCTGTGTGATGTGCCTTCCCCCCCTCATATGCCTAGAACCATGGCACTGTGTCTTATTTATGTCACATACTAAATTTGCACTACTATTTGCCTATGAGCCAAACCCAACTTCCAAATGTTGAAGATTGATTCACAAGGGTGCCCCTTGCTTCCTGAGATGGAGTGAGGCCTCTTTAACCCTTGGGGCCCCCAACCCAGCTTTGGACATTAGGACAAGCTTACAATTAGGACAAGATTACAATACCAAAGGACAGATGAATTAATTCTTGATTAACATAATGAGTGCTTGCTTGATACATAACTAGTGTGAACTGCTGGAAATAAAGTACTTCAAAAATAAAAGTGTCACTGGAATTTGTATGGTACTAATAACTGGATGGAGCCCTGCTATGGCACTACAAGATAAGCACTGGACTGCTAACCACAAGGTTAGCAGTTCAAACCCATCAACCAATCTCAGAAACCCTATGAGTCAGGATCGACTCAATGGCACATAAAAGCAGCAACAACAACTGGATAGTTGGAAGCCTCAGTGTGCCTGCCATTTACTCATTATATACGCAGAATATATATATATATAGAGAGAGAGAGAGTCCTTATGCATCAGACTGCAAAGTTGTTTGAACTGCAACATCAGTGGTTCAAGCTTACCAGCTGCTCCTTGGAAACCCTATACAGGGTCGCTATGGGTTGGAATCGATTTGACGGTACTTAACAACAACAACACATATATGCACACATACACATTGTTGTTAGGTGTCATTGAGATGGTTCCGATTCATATTGACCAATAATGACACACAACACATCAGCACACAACATAATGAAACACTGCCCAGTCTTGTGCCATCCTCACAATAGTTACATCTATCTGGGCCCATTGTTGCCACTGAGCCAATCCCTCTCAGTGGAGGATGTTCCTCTTTTTTGTTTGAACTTCTGCTTTACCAAGCATAATGTTCTTCTCCAGGACTGGTCCCTACTGATAATATGCCCAAAATATGAGAGACGAAGTCTCACCATCCTGGCTTGTATAAAGCATTCTGGCTGTATTTCTTCCAATATAAATTTGTTTATTCTTCTGGGTAGTCTGTGGTACTTTCAATATTCTTCTCTAGCACTGTAACTCAAATGCATCAATTCTTCTATGGTCTTCCTTATTTATTATGCAACTTTCACATGCATATGAGGATATTGAAAATACCATGGCTTAGGTCAGGAGCATGTTCGACCTCAAACTAACATCTTTGCTCTTGAACACTTTAAAGAAGAATTGTGCAGCAGATTTTCTTACTGCAGTATGTCATTTGATTTCTTGACTGCTTCTTCCATGAGTGTTGATAGTGGATCCAAACAAAATGAAGTATTTGACAACCTGAATTTTGTCTTCATTTATCATGATGTTATTATTGCTCCAGTGGTGAAAATTTGTGTTTTCTTTATATTGAGGTGCAACCCATACCAAAGACTGTGGTCTTTGATCTTCATCACTAAATTTTCTAAGTCCTCTTCATTTTCAGCAAACAAGGTTGTATCATTTGCATATCGCAGGTTGTTAATGAGTCTGCCTCCAGTTCTTTTCTTCATATAATCCAGCTTCTCAGATTATTTGCTCAGCATACAAATTGAGTAAGTATGGTGAAAGAATACAGCTCAGGCCCACACCTTTCCTAATTTTAAACTACTCAGTATCTCTTTGTTCTGTTTGAATGACTGCCTCTTAGTCTATGTACAGGTTCCTCATGAGCACAATCAAGTGTTCTGGAATACCCATTCTTTGCAATGTTACTCATAGTTTGCTATGATCCACAAGTCTAAAGCCTTTGCTTAGTCAATAAAGCACAAATAAACATCTTTCTGGTATTCTCTGCTTTCAGCCAAGACATCAGCAATGATATATCTCATTCTATGTCCTCTTCTGAATCCAGATTGAGTTTCTGGAAGTTCCCTGTCAATGTACTGCTGCAGTCGTTTTTTAATTATCTTCAGCAAAATATAAATGGCATCTTGTTCTCTCACATGTTCACATAATAAGTGTCTATTGCACATCCTGGATGCCTTCAGCAATTGGCCTTTGCTGCTGGAGAACTGCAAGAAATCAGATAGGTTGGGTCACTATTCTCCCAGAACACACAGCCTGTTGTGAGAGAGAGACAAGGCAACGGTCAGTTTCATAGGCATGTAGGATGGGGCAGTGGTGGTTCTGTAGTAGAATTCTCACCTTCCATGTGAGAGACCTGGGTTTAATTCCCTGACACTCTCTTCCAATGGAAGCTTTGGTTGCTATAATACTGAAGAGGTTTCAGTGGCGCTTCCAGACTAAGACTAGGGAGAAAGACCTGGAAATATACTTCTAGAAATGTCAGCCAATGAAAACTCTATGTGTTACTTGTCTTTTTGTTGTTAGTCTGTCAAAGTTTTATGTATGTATATTTTGGTTATTAGATTCATATTGAATATATAGTTGCAGAAGCTACTCTACTAAGTGGTAGCTTGTCTTTTCATTTCTTTGGTATAAAATTTTAAAGTTTTTATGAGGTTCCATTTATTTTGTCTATTGCTAATATATTAAATAAACCATTATTGCAAGCTATTACAGTGTTGCCCTGCATTTTCTTCTAAGAATTTTATGATTTTAACATGTACATTTAAGTCCTTAATAAATTTTTCATTGGT